ATTAAATCCAGGAGTGGCATTTCCCAATCAATGGAAGGGGCTGATGTGCATGTACATCTCAGAGCAGAAGGAGAAGTAAGGAGAGAGCACCTCAACCCTGCCATTTGCCCCGTGTTCCTCAGTGCTCCCCATGAAAATGCTGAGGAATGCCAAAAAAGAAATAGAAAAGATATAAAGTTCATCCCCTTTCACAGAGTAGCTGTGAAAGAACATGGTTTGTACGGCCTAAGAGCTGATCTGCCATTAAAGGCTCAGCATTTCCAGAGAAGAGTACAGCCAAATTTTAATTGTAAGATAATGAGAAAGGCTGAAATCATGCCTAGAATTACCTTTGTCCCACAGAGAGTATGCAAAGGAGGATTAAAAGCAGACAGCAGAAATCCTATCGGAACACCCTTCCGTCTTCTACAACATCGAAGGCCACCGACTTTCAACATCACAATAAATTAAGGGAACAGTCAGGAGTAAATGAGGTCACTCCTCACATGTACAGCTGTGTCTGAGGTTCAACAATGAACAGAAATGACAGGGATTAGGGCAGGAACACACGTGAGAATCCTTCACCTCCTGTCCTGCCAACGAAACCGACGGCCGGAGGGCACAGATTCCCTCTGCTCATCATTATGTCCAAACAAATGTTGTGGTTTCACCTTGGGGAAGAAAAAAAATGACAAAACTTGGGAATTTTCAATTTGGGAGTGGTGCAGACAGCCCAGCTCAGGGATGTGTCTTGCTCTTCAGGAGCATGAAGGGGTCCTATGCAGGGAAAGCCCCTCTGCTCTGTGCCAGGCTGGGAGAGCTCGGGGTGCTCACCTGGAGAGGAGAAGGCTCCAGGGAGAGCTCAGAGCCCTTGCAGGGCCTGAAGGGGCTCCAGGAGAGCTGCAGAGGGACTGGGGACAAGGCATGGAGGGACAGCACACAGGGAATGGCTTCCCAGAGGGCAGGGATGGATGGGATATTGGGATGGAATTTTCCCGGAGCAGCTGTGGCTGCCCCTGGATCCCTGGCAGAGTCCAAGGCCAGGCTGGACACTGGGGCTTGGAGCAGCCTGGGACAGTGGGAGGTGTCCCTGCCCAAGGCTGGGGATTGGAATGAGATGCTCTTCCAGGTCCCTTGCAGAAAGCATCCCAGGATTCTGTGAGCATCCTGCCGAGCAGGCGGTGCCGCAGCAGGACCCGAGGAACGACGCGCTCTGGAGCGACGTGACACAAACCCCCTGGAGATTCCCCAACCAGCTCTGCATCCTTGGCCTCTTGGATTTTATTACCATTTATTATTTAGGAATAACTGCAGCGAACACAGAGCCAGCCTAGCAGAGGTTCATGAATCACAGCATCTTATCAGCATATTAATCAGCTCCTGGAAGGGAGAGGGGAAACGGTGTGAGCTATCACAAACACTTTATAGTTTCACGCTTGAAGTCAAACCAGCTCCAGGAGAGACTGATTCTTCATCCCTGATTCCACACCAATGGGCTAATCTATTTACTGCAGCACTGGTGCCTTCCTGCAGTGCAAGGGTGCAAGGAAATGGGAAGGGTAATGTGCCAAAGGAAAACCAGGTGCTTTGGCAGCCCCTGTTTGGGGCAGGTAAAGTGAACTGTACCAAGAACAAAAAAAGCAAATTGGAGGCCTTAAATAAATTAGCCTCAATTAAAACAACAGCTTACATGAAGATCCGACTTAATTACAGTCTGGTTTAATTAAATAGTAAACAAGGCTGAAACACTGCTGCTGATGTTCCAAAATCCATGGAATTAGCGGAGTGGAAGCCGTCACCAGCCAGGCACGAGGAGCCAGGACTTGGAGCACAAAGCTGGCACTGGGCAGATGTAGCTCTGTCTGCAGCCAGAATGTTCTCCCAGTGTCACCTTCCCTCAGCTCCACAGCTCCTCATCCAGCAGCAGGAAACACTGACAGCAGAAGTTTTCTCCTCCCTTTTCAGTTTCCAACGAGAAACAGGAAAGGAGGGTGCAATTCAACAGATCTGGGAGTTCTAAGGACCCCAAAAATGAGACACAGGAGAAGCCACAAGTGCTTAATAAATCCCTTAGTTCAAACATATGGATTGTTTTCATAAAGATTTCTCCTATGAGTTGAACAATTCTGATTTTATCTCCCCAAGTAACTGTATTTTAAAACTTCCTTTTTAAAATGTAATTATTATTTCCCATGAAAATCCAGCCAATCCAGACAGCACTTGAAAAATGATTTAGGAAATAACTGTCCTTCACACTTCCATTAAGGAAGATCAAAATGGAAAAATCAAGAATCTGAATAAACGGATGCTTCATCAAGTACTTGAGTATGTGCCAAGGATTTCCCATTCTCCCTAACTCAAGGATTTCCTATTTTCCCTAACAGCCAATCTGGCAGCAAAAACTGGATTATTTATCTTGCAATAGACCTCTCTCCCTGCTCTGCCAGGAAACAACACAGAAGTCAGAATAAGAAGAAAATCATTAAAACTCAGATTAAAACTCATTATTTCAGCCTAAAGCTACCATATAAATGAAAACAATAAACAAAATATTCAGTAGTATAAAGCATTCACACTTAGCACCAAAAAACCCCACAAAAGCACAGAATTCACCCTGCCAGTATCCTGATTACTATCCCTGCTTTCCTCCTGTCACTACCCCATCTGAGTTTTATTCCACAGCTCTTTTCATAGCTGCTCAGACCACCCTCAGGAGCTGCCTGTCTTTTCTCTACAGAGGCTAAAATTTAAATTTTCTCCTCCTCATTCGCTATAGAACTTTCATTACATATTCAAACAAATTCAGATTTAAAAGGGTTTGTAACACTATTTGCCCAGAAAAAAAAGAAAAAAAAAAAAAAAGAAGCTCTTCTGTTAAGTGCTTTCTGACTTCTATTTTGGGACTTCACTGTAAGAGTTCAGCCCACTGACTCCTTACCTTCCACCTGGGCAATGGAACAATCCAGCAGGAATATTCCTGCTGTGCTCTCCTACATTTGTTTCTTTGTTTTACCATTGACATAACCGAGGACCTTGTTTTAATTTTCCCAGTCTGATCTGCCTCCAACTTTTTCCTTCAAGATTATCCTGCACATCCACCACTGATTTCAGTGCATTTACCACAAATTCTGGAAGACAAATGCCTGAATGATGGTTTGGGATGAAACCATGGGGGCCACATCCTCCTGATCCCTGCATGGATCAAAGCTGGCACAGGCTGGCCAAGTCAAATTTTACAGAGTTAAGGGCACAGTAGGAACTTCACAGTCATCAACCAGCAGGTTGCTTTAGAAGACAACATCCCATTAATGTTGGCACTTGATTAATTCCAAATGGAATCCTGCAGAATTCATGTGTTCAAGCCCAGGCTGGACAGGGCTTAGAGCAACCTGGTCTTTGGAAGGTGTCCCTGCCCATTGCAGAGGGTGGAATCAGATGAGCTTTAAGGTCCATTCCCACCTTAACCATTCTGGAATTCCATTAATCCCTTCATCTAAAGCAGAATTCTCCCTCTAAAATTCTTCTATAAAAGATCAAGGTCCAAATTCTGACCAATCTGCACCTCAATATTTAAATTAAATCGTCTTATCAAGTGCCAGAAAGCAGCTGCTAAGACACCCAGGATTGTATGAAAGCAGATACAGAAATGTACATTGAATGGAGATTAAGGTGGAGCTTTAGGCACATGCAAAAAAAAAAAAAATCAAAATAAAGTGGGAGAGAAGTAGCCTCTTGTGCTGAAAAGCCACAAAATTCCTGTTATTTCCAGAGCAGGAAAATAACTGTGCACTTATGAGCTCGTTCTATCACCCAGGCACTGCTGGAGTCCACAGTCTTCTCACAATGGGGAGATTTTTGAAGAGACTTTTTCACAGAGATTGGGGCTTTTTTTTTCAAGCCTCTCATGCTTTGACTGTGAGACCAAAGTTCCCCCAAGCTACAGTATCTCCAACAAAGCAGCTGCATAAATTGGAATGAGAAAAAGAAAGGATGAATAAAAATGGGGCAAAACACCTCTGAGGAACTCTCTGCTCTGCAGAGTTTCAGACAGGGCTCCTCACAGCCCCACTGATCCACCAGCTGGAAGGGCTGCCAAACTGAACCAGAATATTCCATGCACAAAGCAGCTCAGAGTATTTGATGCTCATTCCCATCTGCTGGTGACCACTCTCCTCCACAAAAGCACATTCCCAAATAACTCCACACATTAGGTGAAAGTCAACACTTTCACCTAACAGGAAGCCCTAACACAACATGACACCCAAGAGCTGATTACGTTCCCCAATATAGTATAAAAAGGAGTTTTCCAGGGCTGATTTTGTAAGGGGGTCAAAAATCAAAGCAAGTCAAGGTGAACATAATCCACAGGGGAAACCAGATACACCTGAACTGGGATTTTCTTTTTCCAAAGCACCATTTCTGTCCCAAATGAATTCTTTCCATAACAGTACACTTTAGCTTCCCCACTAGTTACATAATGATGGTAAACATCTTTATCAAGTAATAAGGATGACATTTTTAGACAACTCAGTTCTAAAGAAGGTTTCAAACAGAAAACAGACATAAGATTAACTCAACCAAAGCACAACTTGAAATATAAAAAAAAGAAATCAGTCAAGACTGTAGCTTAAGTCACCACCTATCACAATACCTGGATGTTCTCCAAAAAACGGGCTCTTGGCTGTGGGATTCTCATTTCCACAGCTGGATTATTCCAGCACGTGCACCCCAGTGGTTCAGTGGAGCCCTCCTGCTGGACTGTCCCAGCACCTGCTGGCAAGTTTGCTAATCTAAAGAAAAAAGCCCTTTAGATCCTTTTCCTTAGGATTGCCAGGGTATCCTCTTTGCACGAATTCAGCTCCAACTCTTCTCACCGCCCTCGCTGCACTGGCTTTGCTGAAGGGCTTTTCCTGCGAGTCACGTTCCCATCCGGCTCCCTGATGGGAAATCTTTCTCCCTCATTAAGGGATCAGCCACCACCACACACAGAGATCCAGGAAAAGCCCCAACCCCTGTCCTACCTGTATAGGCCATGTTCTTCGGGTTTCCGTAGGGAGCCCCAGGTTGGACGGGGCTGTAAACAGGATTCATGCTGGAAGACCGGGAACTCTGAGGACAAAAGAAAAGCAGAGTTGAGACGGTTGCCTTAGGTTGGCTCCCGCGTCGCTGTCTGTGTGCAGAGCCCTGATAGCATCACCCTGTTAGAATTCCAGACACAGACAGCTGTGAAGGAAGGGATTTACAACCAGACGTTACAACCAGATAGCATATTTAATAATTCAAGTTTTGGATCTCTCAGGTAATTCCCACAACTTCTCCGGCACTGCATATTCTGCCTACAAATGCACCCGGAGCAGATTCATCTTCCACATCCCTGGGCTCAGGACTCATGACCCCACTTCCAGCTTGAGATGAACAAAGAGGAGGAGCCACAAAGTCAGGCAAAGAATTGTCCCCCTTGGAAGAGCGAGCAGTTTTTGGGTGATAAAACCAACCGCACCGAAGTCCTGACCTTTCAGAGAGCAGCGGATGAAAGATCATTTGCCGCTGGCGAGATGGAGAAGGGCAAGTCTTGGTGAGCCTTCAGCGTGAGCTGACTGTGAAAACCTGGAGGCCAAGGCTTGGCTCCTGTGTGGGGCTGGGCAGGGCCACCCCCTGGTCCCACCCGTGTCCCACAGGGAGACTCCATTGCGGAGCTTCCGTGAGCGAGGAGATTTCGGCAGCCCTCGTGCTCCCCTCGCCGATAAAAACCACACAGCAGGGTCAGCTTCTTGTGGGTTTTATTCGGAGGAAAGCAAGTGACTCGGGAATTTGTGTCTCCTAACTGTCAGTTAAGCAACTGGCTCAGTTAATTATCTTAATGAAGCACATTCTCAGTTCTGATTAATGGGAAAATCAGTCATTAAGCTTTATTAGGCGACGCATTTGTCTCCGCAGCTATCTAGTGGTAATTTCACACCAGAACCAAACCCATCTTGCTACAAAATCTGGGGGTTTTGTTAAAATGTGTTATTTTACAGTTCATAAATAACACCATTCTCTCCAAACAAGTCCCTCATGATGGGGGACACAATTTGTTACATCATTAACTCCTTTCACTTTACCTCGGGAGAGTAAACAAGTCAAACGTTACATGTTAGCACCGACTGACTTGACAACAATTAGTGCTTAATTAATTAGCTGTCCCTCCACCCTCAAGTTAGCACTGAAGGAGCCATTCTCAGAGGAAAGGAAATCAGGGTTATAAGCAAGTGGGAAGAGACAGGGAGACTCGGAATTCCATCAGTGGCTTCACTAATACACAGCATTAAGAGCATTAAGAAGATCTTTAATAAAGTCAGTGTAAAACCAGGCTGCCCAGAGAAGCTGTGGCTGCCCCATCCCTGGAACTGCCCAAAGCCAGGCTGGATGGAGCTTGGAGCATCTGATCTAGTGGAAACTCTCCCTGCCCATGGGACTGGATGAGCTTTAATGTCCCTTCCAACCCAAACCATTCTGTGATTTTATGGAATAAAATTTAGGAGGGTAACTCTTCACCTTTCCATTGTTCCTCCCCAAAAACCACCCAGTGACAGCTGGACCTGCTCCCAGGCAGGGCTGGAATCACGGCTGCTTTTCTAAAGTGCCTTTTCAATGCCAGCAGCATTTCATTTGTACTCTTGTGTGTGTGAAGAGTATAAAAAAATCATAATTCAGGGAAAAAAAACGACAGAGTATGTGTGGCTTGCATTAGGTGTTGTACCAAATGGTAAAAGCAAAACACTCTTATTGAGAAGGATGAAAGAAAATGCTTTTTATCCCAGATAAAAAGGTTGTAATCGTGGTGGGGGCTTGAGAGCTTGTGAGGAAGAGGTTTGTGCTTCCTCCCTGCTTTGTATGCAGGGTGGGATTTCCAGCCAGCAGGAAAGAGCCCCTGCAAACGGCATTTGGGAGGGATGATTTTCTCTCCCATTCTGCAAGACAATGCCATCCAAAAATACATTTGAAATTCATTGCAGGCACCATGTTGTGGCATTGAAACAGCTACACTGAAATGGGAATAAAACAGGATTAGCAAAATTAAACCTTCTGCACCGCCAGAACCTGCAGAGTTCGCTTGTGGCCATGAATGCCCAACAAAAAGACTACTAAAAATTAATTATAAACAGACAAACACCAGTGCTGCTCTATTGCAGGAGCTTCCAGCACTTCCTAATCCCTGAGACAGCCACGTTCAGTTGCTCTGAGAGACTCCAGCAAGGAGGAACTCCAGCAGGAATGCCATGGGAATAAGCTGCTAGCAAACAGTCCCGGGATACTTTGTGCCTGTAACCTGGTTACCTTTTCATCTATTTTATCCTTCCTGTGAAAGTGCAGGACAGGCTCCCATCACACCAGGGAGGGCAAACAGAGCCACAGGGGAGGGTGGGAATGGGTCACTGTGGCTTGGGCAGAGCTGGGGAATGGTTGGATTCCATGAACTTGGAGGGCTTTCCCAACCCTGGAGGGCTTTTCCAGCCTTGGAGGGCTTTCCCAACGTTGGAGGGCTTTCTCAGCCTTGGAGGGCTTTCCCAACCTTAATGACTCTGTGATTCTATGAGTGTGTCCCCCACCCCTGGGAATCAGGAATCAGGAACATCTCATCCCTCTGTTTTCCTCCATCCCTGGTTTTCTTGGTGCCTTTGGAAACACTGTGCCCAGATCCCCCCATCTCCACAGAGGGGTTTGCAACCCCCATCATTGTGGTTGGAAAAGATCTCCAAGATCATCAAGTCCAACCTCTGGCCCAATATAAAAGCTAAAAGAATAAAGGAGGCTTGGAAAATCCAGGAAGTTAATGAAGTTATTATCATTATCTTTTCAGAACAAAGGAATGAGATCTTTACAGAGAAATAAATATATTTTGCAAGGTTTTTAAAACAGTGGCATGGACAGGGTAATCTTTCAAGCTCTCCAAAAATTAAATAGTAGCTCTGAATTGAAAAGAAAAGAGTAAACAATGGAAAAGGGAGCTGGTCTGAACAACAGACATTTTTCCATTTTCTTTCAAGTAATTTCTTGTGTCAAGGTGATTTTTCCCTTTAAACTCCCATTGCCTTGTTTTTTGTGCCACTGGGATGCAATGCCTTTTGAGAGCCCCATTCCGTACACTCTGGAGAAAGGGTACTATTTTCTCTATGTGCCAAAAGTAATTTATTTCACATCAGGTGGCACAGAACCAACATGAGAGAGTATGAACAAAGAAAAGAGATACTTTTCTTCCTTGACCTGCACATCATCTCTTTAAATGAATTTTACACAAATTGCATGCTAATAATATTCAGCCAAAGTCTCCTTGAACATGAAAAGGCCTCCTGACCTTACACTCCATGCAAATTCCACTAATTTTCTGACAATTTTTCCCTGAAGTTGTTTGAAGCTTGACCCTCACTTGGGATCCACCAAACAATAATTAAATTACCTTCCAATTCATCTGTTAAAAGTTAATTTAGGCGAGTTACAAGGGTATATCCCACCTTTCCCCAAAAAAAGTCTGGGACAGTGGGCAGGAGCTCAGAGATTCGTTACCACAATGAGCAGCTTCTTCTTTAATTTATTCTTTTTTTAGACACCTCAAGAGTTGATTGAACATCTCATGTGTGAAAGAAAATATTGAACCTGTTATAGAAATGTAATAGGGTTTTATATATATATATGTATATATAATGTGTTTTATATATATCTATATAAAGTATTTTATACATATATATATGTATATAATGTGAACATCAGGTTAAGACATGGAAACCCAGACTGGTTTGGGTGGGAAAGACCTTAAAGCTCATCCAACTCCAAACCCAACACCAACTCCAACACCTCCCACTATCCCAGGTTGCCTTCTCCTCTCCAGGTGAATTCCTCCAGCCCCCAAAAATTTACAGTGCTTCAGCATCTTCCATCAGATCCACCTCCAAACCAGGACAGGAGCACTCAGATCTTCACTGAGGAGACACAGCAGAGTGTCCTGGGAGACAAAACCCCAGGGAGCCACATTCTCATCACCTTCTGTTTCCTCTGAGATGAAGAACTAAATAATCAGGCTTTTCCAATCAAGAAAAGCCTGACATCTCTAACAGCAACAAGCCCTTTTGTCTCCATTGTATGAAAAATTAAATGGATAATTTATAAGCACAAAGCAGCTCTTGACTTTGGAATTTGCTGACCTGAGACTGGCCAAAAAATAAATGCTGAGGCAGGAAAAATCTCGACCTTTCGTTTGCTGAAGTTTATGATCTGCTTAAAAGCCAGAGGATCAAAAAACGATAATTCAGTTATTAATTCAATTTAATATTATAGACTGCATATTGAAATATTGTAGAGGAAATCCTTGTCCTCCCTGAAAAGGACTAGGAAGATGGGATCACTTGTTTGTTGCACAGGTGAACCTGAATGCGATGGCAAAATACCTGCACATTGTATTTGCTTATTTGAATTAGGCAGAGCTTACACAAATGAGCTTAAATAAATGAGAAATGATTGAATCATAGACTCACAGACTGGTTTGGATTGGGAGGACTTTAAAGCTCATCTAGTTCCAAGCCCCTGCCATGGGCAGGGACGTCTTCCACCAGACCAGGTCATTCCAAGCCCCATTCAACCTGGCCTTGAACCAGCTCCCCCACAAGAAATTTCAGAATGAGAAAAACCAAAAGATTCTGGCACAGCTGGAGTTATATTAGCTTGTTTCCAGAGAAGAAAATGTCTTAATGCAGATGAATTCTGTGCTGCAAATTCCCAGCCTTTTATCTGCAAGTCTGATGGGTTTCACCAGCAGGTAACCAATAAATACATGTATTTTTTAAAAGATCTAACATATCTGCCCCAGTGAGTCCCAAACCATTCTCAGCAGTTCTCAAACGACTTCCTTGATATATTCCTATTAATTTCTCTAACTTGAGGCCTTGCTGACTTTCCCTTTGGAGATGAACCCTGCTGTACTCTTGTACTTGGTGCTCCCTGACTGAGCCACGGCCTCCTCCAGCTGATTATCTCCATCCTTTTGTCTTCCCTACCCTAGTTCATTATGTTCTGCTGAAAAGGCTGCTTGGAACACACAGCTTGAGGACACTTCTCTCTGCTCCTTCCTTTCC